ATTAATTCCAACACCTAATATATATATATATATATAATTTTGATTCATCTTTACCTTTTCAAGAGACAAATCGCCACCTTCGATGGCTCGAAAAGGATACAGAGCCACCACAACTTTCGCCCGCAACATTATCTTTTCCTGCGAGACAAAATTAATTTGTATGGATTACATAAAAATGCTAAGAATGAGGAAGTTTTCATTTCAACGGAACGTGGACTTACCTTTGCTTTAGAGGATGGTGTGCCGGGTGTACCACCTGGCATTATCGGAGTCGAAGGCGTTCCTGGAAAAAGAGCAAACGGGAAAAAAGATTTAATATTATTGTGATGTGACATTTGTTCTATTATACACTAATCGTTTTTTTTGTTTCAAATAACTTAACAACGTCACATTTTCTATGTTTATTCGCAAACAATTGCTTTACGTTCTTCACATATCATCGTTTCGCGATATTGTTGTAACAAATAGAATCCTTGACAATTTTGCGTGATATAATAACTAATAATTACTATTTTATTAAAGCGTCCGTCGTTTAATTTCACAGAAAAAAGCGGCCCGGACAGCGACGTTCCTCCTTGCGTGGCAACGAACGGCGGAAGCTAAACGGGACATCTCGACTGACGAGCACTACGCTGATCTGACAGCATACCAAACCGTGAACGCGGAGAATGATACCACGAGAGCAGTCTCCACCCTGTCTAGACAAAATCAATGCGACCTCAAACCTCCTACATCCCCTCTCCGGCATCTCTTCCGCACCGTCCAGCGTTTGCACGTGTAACGCTCATCGCGTGTACTGCGTGCGCTGCATCCAACTGCTGTCGCACAAAAACAATATTACATGTCTACCTATATATCTGTAAAATTCAAAAACTCCGCGTGCGGATTTTCGGTGCCTCACACCAAACTCAATCAAAACCCTTTGTACCAAGTTTGCGAACGATCTGATATTTCACTTACTTAAAAAATTGCGCGCTTCCCTAAGCGACGATTGCCGTCGGGATTATTTTAAACACGTTTTAGCATCGAGACACTACTACACTAGTGTCTCCCAGATAGATATTACTGCTGTTGTTTAAACCGCATCAGCTTCTCTCGTCGCGTGACATCTTGCATTTCAAAATGCTTCTTTAATACCTTTTTCATTTTTTTTTGGCCGAGTTTCATTACCCGAGGCAATCTCAGCAACGCAGCGGAGGTTCCGTCCAAGAATTTTTTCTTTGTGAAAAATATTTTAGATATCTTCTAAAAGAAAAAGAGGAAACTTACCGCTGGAAATACTTGACGCGAGTTGGTACGTCATATAATATTACAATCCTTTAGAGTTTATTCTGCTCTAAGTTTTTCAAAGTATATTTTTCGGATTATATTGAGAATAAAGAAAAACAAAACAAATATGTTTCATTAAGCAATTTTCTTAACTGAGAGGGAGAGAGAGGGAGGGAGAGAGAGAGAGAGATTTCTTCTTTAATTTAAAACATTGTTAATTTTCGCACAAAGATACCCTCGAATTTTTCGCGCAATTTCTCAGTGAATAGTATCACAGATTCATAGAGAAGCTTTTGGAAGAGAATCTCAAGGAGGATATCTCAGTAATGAAAGTCTCGTCGGGATACAAAGCTCGCGACGTGAAAAGAGGGTAACAAAATCTGCCGGAGGCAACGCATCTCTTTTCGGTGCATCTCCGAAAATATTCCGACTTTCACGGAAATTCAATAAGTGGGAGAGCCTTAAGAAGGAGAGATAAACGTCACGTCTAAAATAGCGACGTCGTGATATTGAATCTGACTCTCAGCATTGATTCTAATATACAACGCGGTGCATTGTAGGTATATTCTGTATTGTTAGGTTAGAAGAAATATTTCGTTACCTACTATATCTAACAATACCACTTGCATTTACGTTGTTTCTTTTCTCCACGTTTCTGGTCCAGCGTATCGAGACCAGACTATCACGCACATATCGAGAAATATTATACTTAATTTCTATCTCACGAAGTTGCCATTAGTTCGAGTTTCATTAACTTCAGAATGTGTTTCTCAATATAAAAAATATAAATCATATTGAAACATAATAATATGATGACACATAAGGTCGCAATCAAGGATTTATTTCTTTCTTTCTTATATTGATTATGTGAAAGAATTATACGCTAATCTATACAAGTAGATCCCTATCTCATGATGACCATAACGTCTGAGAGGCCACTGACCTCCTTATCGATTTCGGTAAAATTATTGCCACCGAAGTAGAGATATCGCAATTTGACGAAATCAACGAAAGCGCCATTATCCACCGTCTGGATGTTATTGTCGGACAGCCTGATCTCTTCCAAATTGGAGAGCCCAGTAAAAGTGCCGACTACAATATGAGACAGTTTGTTTCCATTTAGTCGCAATAGTTCTAGTTGTGACAATTCCCGGAACGTTTCCGGCTCGAGAGCACTGATCTCGTTATGCTGAAGGAAGAGACTCTTCAAACCAACCAAGTCACGGAGAAGCGTCCTGGAGATGCTCGTTATCCGATTGTCATTTAAGTAAAGAACCTCCAACTTGTTCAATCCTCGAAAGACACCGTTTGGCAAGTCCACCAACCGATTGTAGTCCAAGTGGAGGCGATTCAGTTCGGTTAACCCGGCGAAAGAACCCGGGGCGATACGAGTGATTTTATTATTATTGAGCCACAGATATAGTAGCTCAAGATTTGGAAAGGATTCTGCCTCGATCGCTTCGATATCGTTATGACCTAAGTAAAGCCACATAAGACTTGACAGGCCGGCAAACGAGTCTTTCGGTATCGAATTGATCCTGTTGAAGATCAACGACAACGACTGCAGGTGTCCCAATTCCGCGAACAAGTGCTCCGACAATGGTACCACGTTATCGTCCAAGTGGAGACGTTCCAAGTTGGGCAAACCGCGGAAGGATCCCCTCTTCAACACGGATATTCGATTGCCTTGATTCAGATACAAGTGCGTCGCCGTCACGTTCTTGAAGGCATCTTCTCGAATTGCCAGAAGATTTAGATCGTTGATGTCCAATCGATCTTCGAAACGGCGTTGAGTAACTTCGACGAGCACCCCTTTATAGTGGCAGATGTTGTAACCGTCGATGATTCGACAGGTCGGCTCTTTCACCTTCGATGAGGCTCTCGCCGAGAGAAACAGGGCGACTTGCGAGAAAAGCAACAGAAATCGCGACATCGTGAAAGAGATCAATTGAATGTCGACTAATCGAATGACACGGGTGCATCCGTTTTATAAGTATTGTGTTCTCTATGGAGAGAGTATACGCGATTAGATAGTGTGTGACTTTTGGCACTGATTATCGCGACTGTATTCTCGGAAGGAGAGACGGTTCCCGCACGGATACGAAATGTCAAAGTTGAAGATAAGAGAAAAACATGTCATGGCTTTAATTTTTAAACGATGCGAAAATTCCTCGTATTATTAAATGTTGAACTTGCGTTTTCCCCAAAGTGCAGATTTTTTCAAAATCGATTTCGAGAGCGTCAAAACTAATTAGCGCCTAAATTAATTATTATAAAACATGATATTTAGCGAGGCTCTTAATAATCACAGGTTCGGTTTAGCAAACCGCACGCATTGTCGATGGCAGGTTGTTCGCCACTGATTATCTGTAACGAGCAGTAGAAAGTACGTAATAGTCCAGTGAGCACCCAGGACAGTGAGGCGATCGTGGAAAGTGGAGTGAAACGGTAGAAAATTAAACAACGACGTTGTATAAGAACGAGAATCCCAAAATGGATAATCCGTTTACCCAAGGTAACCATATCTTTCAATAATCCGATATTATATTTATTTACGATAACGCACATTGTTAAATATTTATTGACGCAAATAAAAACCTAGTACCGCACCTAGTATTGTCCAACAATCTGGACATAAAACATCTAGTCTCTATTTTCATTAATTCATTGACTTTCATCTTCAGCTTAACTCTTTATCTATTTCTAATTCTTAGAACTAGGAAAAAAATAAAAAGCAAATTAAGTGAAATTAAAGTTAATCTACATTAAGAAATGGATATTAAAAATGTTGTTATGCACTATGTACGAAATGCATTATGTACTTAATATCATTTTTAATATGTTACATCCGGTGCTATATTAAGATATGTATACTGAAAAAGAAAGATGTTACATCAACCGCATTATTTTAATTAAAAATAATCTTTAATAACAGAGCATTCATGAAACAAATAGAATATTATTAAAACAAGAGCGTATTTGTTTGTTTCATTAATATAATAATATTATTGTGTGTAAATTAACAAAATTATTTTCAATTAAAATAATTCTGTTGATACACCATTATTTTTTTCAGTGTGTGTGAAAAAAATGGGCTATAAATTTCAGGGCAATAAATTTTATAAAGTTTAGGGCGGTAAATTTTAGAAAAAAAATTTTGTTTTAAATAAGAACTCTATATTCGCGGTCGAAGCGGATCTTAAGTGCTTAAACACATATTTCTTATGTGAATTTATATACATTTTGATTTTGCATATCGGGCGCTAAAATGTTTTTCCGGACTTAAAACGTATTCATGAGCAAAACCAGACTAATAATATCGCTTATTAAATTGTAGGCAATTTAATAATGTTTTATGTCAATAAGCATTTTTTAATAAAAAATTTTAATTATCATACGTTGATAAAATCTAAAAACTGTGAATAATTTATTGCGAAAAATATTACTTCGAGAATCGAACCCGGATCTCTCGGCCGGATGTCCTTACAGATTATCGGGATTTTAGTAATGACCAGTAACTAATTTTTTTTAATTGAGCATTGAAATAATGTTGCTTATAAATGATTTAAAGTCTAGGTAAACAAGATGATTCATAGTGAAAAAAGATTAAATTCGCTTTCTGTCCTCCATTGAGAAATAACTTATTATTTTATCAATTTACGTATTTTTGTTGTGTACTTTTTGCTATTTTTGTACTTGAAACAAATGAATGATTTATGAAAATTTTGTCAATCAATTCTTAAATTAATTTAATATAACTCTTAAACTTTACCCAGATGACATCATATCTTAAAAGGACATTCAAAATATTAATTCAGTCCATAGACACGAAATAGGTTAATCTGCTTATATCCCGATTTTAAATATATGTGCTATCTGCTCGCTATCTCTTCCTAAAGGGAAGTTGTTAACTCTCGGTCGCACGAAAAGAGTACATTGATTGCATAAAAAGAGTAAGTAACTTAAAAAAAAAAAGGTAAAAAAAGATGAAGAAGAAAGAGTTTGCTATTTTAA